ATAATACTGTATATTGTGTGTCAGATGGACAGATGAATGAAGCCACTTCACTTTTGAAATTAGAATTTGATTATAGAATTTTGTTAATTTCAGGTCTTGGGGCTATTTCGTGTAAAGATTGCCTGACAAAATCATAGGACAACTGCAATCAGTGTTCATGTGTGTCTTTCTGTCCAACCCGTAATCTCACCTTCTGCAGCCAGAATTGCATTGTCAGCGTTTGCACAGAAACCTACCAGACGGGAACGCAAGTGTCCCTACAGAGACTCCTTGAAGAGGTCATTAATTTTAAAAAAGCCCAAGAGACTGTTTTCGTATTTTTACCAGTTGCTTTGTTTTAGTTTTTTTGCTCTGCCATCTGTTTGCAAATTGCAGTGAACCTTTTCAATTAAGTTTGAATTGGCCGGGGGTCGCGTGTCAGAGGGAGAGCGTCCTGGTGACGCAAAGGAAGGGTGTTTCACTGTGAGAAAAGGCCACACTTATGGCTCACGGCGGTTTGGCGACAACGGAAGTGATGTGGTTTCCAAATTGGTTTCAGGTATTCCGAGTCTTACTATCGCTAAGGGCGAATGACTGTGACTGCATTCCAGCCAAGGATCATGGGATATGCCAGGGACGCCTGTCTGATGTGCTTTGCTGAAGCCTGTGTTGTTGTTATATTTCCAGAATGCTTACTTTGTAGTGTACCACAGTGTTTTTTGATGTTGTTCCTGGAGGCCACTTTCATGCACATTTGATGTGTTTCTCTAATCTAATCAGCTCATTAGCAGAGTGCTATGCTTTGAATCAAAGACTGCATTTCATTTGTTCTAGAGTGAATGTTTATCACTTCAGCGCACATCTCCACGAGTGCTGCAATGTGACTGTGACGTCACGTATCCACATCCTGAAATCGGAAGCTGCGTCCTCTGTTCCCTATACACTCAGCAGGGGAGCAACATCATCAAAACAATAGGCTATAAACTAATAAAAGAAAGAGAAGTCATGTGTTAGGAACAAATGGTGCTACCAAATGAAGTATGCAGATTTGCCAAGTACAGATTTTAATTTCTGTTCCAATTTGTGGGAGCGGGTTTGAGAAGTTGAAGTCATGAATATTTTTCTGCTGATTGCCATGAGAGCTCTTGATAAGGTTGTTGGGTAACAAAGCAGGAAGGTGTTAGTATGCTGCGGAGGCTACAGGATGCTTGAACAGCCCGGAGGGGGAGCTGAGATGTCCATTCTGAGATGTGCTGCATGTGGGGGCCAGGAATGATTGGAAAATGATCTAAGCGGTCTGACTGTTCAACAGCAGGCGGTCTGAGCTGCAATATGGCAATTCAGTTGTCTGCCAACAGAGAACAGTTGCCTTCCATTAAAACAATTTCTACAGTGTCATTTTCCGGCACAGTGTACAAGATTCTGCAAAAGAGCTGTATAAGGTGGTGTTTGTACCCTTACAAATAAAATTTGGAGTCTGGTGAAGTGAAAAGCTGCGTGTTTGTAAAAAAAACAAATCCAACATTAAAGGGATAGTTCACCTAAAAATGAAAATTTGATGTTTATCTGCTTACCCCCAGGGCATCCAAGATGTAGGTTACTTTGTTTCTTCAGTAGAACACAAACGAAGACTTTTAACTCAAACCGTTGTAGTCTGTCAGTCATATAATGGAAGTGAATGGGAATCAGCTTTGAGAGTCAAAAAAACATACACAAACAAAACCAAATTACACCCTGTGGCTCGTGACGACACATCGATGTGTAAAGACACAATACGATCGGTCTGTGCAAGACACAGTATTTATATTGTTTTTTACCTCTGATTCACCGCAATGTCTGAACTGTCCTGAGCGCATTCTCAACAGCTGGTGCGTGACGCATCTTCTTCTTCTTCTTGCTTTACGGCGGATCGCAGACTTATAACCGTGCGTTCACACCGCCGCCGTCGAGAGCGACAAAGTGGCCGGAAGTCATTCATTTTCAATGTGAGCCAGCGTCGAGAAGCGGCGCGGCGCGACTTGGACGTTGAGGGCGTCGAGGAGAGTTGAAATCAGGTCAACTTTATGGTAATGAGCTATGACGCGGTTCGGTGGCAACCAGTCGGAACGTAGAAGTCCACCGCTTGAGAGGATTCCAGAGATCACAGTCCTGTAAACTTTGGTTCCGACCACATTAGTTCCCAAGCAAAATGGAGGAGAGGTTGATTATTGCTGTGGCGGATTTCCCAATAATCTATGACGTGTCCCTGTTTGCATACAGGGACATAAAAAAAAAAAAAAGAAGAAACAAAGTCACCTACATCTTGGATGCCCTGGGGGTAAACAGATAAACATCAAATTTTAATTTTTGGGTGAACTATCCCTTTAAGACGTTTTAACTTGAAACTGTCGTTTCTGGCCAAAAGAATCCATAATAACGCTTCCTCCAGTGAAAAAGTCCATCTGTTGTTCTCTCATCAAAATCCACCCACATATTTTAGAGCTGTATTGGACTGTTTTCATTGCAGACGATGCTTGATCTGTGCATATTTCTCTCCTGATTCAGATGAGACAACGTTTTCACTGGAGAAAGTATTATGAATAGAGGACTCGTATTTTAGCGCAGGGGTGTCAAACTCAATTCCTGGAGGGCCAGAGCCCTGCAGAGTTTAAATTCAATTCTAATTCAACACC